AGGAGTATTGAGAAATAGCCCTGTCAAGAAAATCTTGTTTTCCAGATTATATCAAATAACTTCACTGAGGGGTGTGTGTGTGTATGCAAATGGAAACACACACGATACACACACAAATATGTGGATACACACACACACACAAGCACATCAGGCTTTGGGAGACACGTAATTTTCATGTCCAATACTTTCTTTCTCTCCTGTAATTAAATGTGCAGTTTCCTTTCACCAAAATAACATGGCACCAGTTTAATTTGAATATATCTTTAAGCCATGTACAAGCAGTGAGGTTCCTTGCATGAATATTCAGCATTTAGCTGCCACATGCCCATGGATATTCAGCAAATAAAGGAATATGTAGGCATAAGTGATACAACAAATAATTCTGCAGTACCAGATATTTTCTGTACACAGAATAATCAAATTTTATGCCAACAAAGACAGTGATAATTTAAATTTTTATCTGTCAAATCCAGTAATGCTTTGCTGGATTGGGTTGTTTTATCCTGTCAAGGTCAGAATGTTTAGCAACAGCAATGGGGATGGTTCCTGGCTCCCAGTTTTCAATGCTCATGGAGATAGCATGTCTCAGTTACAGCCAAAATGCTGCAGAAAAGCCTCTGTATCCAGACACCGGCTAGGTCATAGCAAGGTTTCCGAGTACACAAAGGAAGGGTTTTTCAGCTTCTAGGGTTCACTTTGGTTGCATGATTTAGAGGCTTTTTTTGTCTGCCTTTAATAATGCCACCTTTGTAGTACAAAAATACACGACTGGGAGAAGCTGGCAGCTCCCTGTGGCCTGCAGCTCCCCCATTCCTTCTCTTTTCCCCAATAACCAAACCAGGAAGCTGCCACTGCTGCTGTGACATCTGACATGATAATGCTGCAGAACCAGGATACTCCTGACCTGCTTACAGGTACCATTGCAATTCCATCCGTGCCCATTTTTCTCTAGCTGAGGGTGTTGTACCCTGTTTGAATGCATGAAAAACCACTGGAACAGGCTGTCTGAATAACCAGGGGTGATTCAAGAACTGTCAGAGTCCTCTTCAAACCACCAAGAAAATGAGGGTTTGTCCTCCCTCAGGCCTGAGTGTTGGAATTGTTCAGCATTTAATGATGAGTTGGGGGATGAGTTTGTGGGAAGGAGATAAGGGATGAAAGTAACCTTCTAAAGGAGAAAATGGGACAAGCCTATGGGGCACTCCAGGTACCCTTTAAATAAAAGAAACTGGGATGTGATTTCTCTGTAATTCCTTCTCTAATTCCTCTGAATTAGCCTGTGGGAACTTCTCAGCCCTCACAAAACAAATTGAGCTCCCCACAAGTCAGACCCGAGGAACAGACATCAGACTTGCTGGTGAGGCCCCTTCTGGCAGAAGACCTACCTCAAGCCTATTTGAATCACCCATTAGTAAAGAAATCATCTTCAAAAAAAGTCAGTTCAGCCTAAATTCCATCAACCCTAAAAGTAATAAGCCATAAACCAGTGGAGATACTATCCTAGGAAACAGACAAACATTGTGTGTAAAGCAAACTCTGGATTTTCTAAGGTGTTTGTTGATATTAAATTTGGTTAAGTAGTTGTGTGATGGCACTTTCTCTGAGACTGTTGGTCTAGACACCTCTGTAAACCTTAATTCACAGGAGTCAAATTTGCCTTTGGCTGGCAAGCTGCAAAATGATCTGGTCCTTTCACACCACTCAGCATCTTATCCAGCGGAAGCCATTAGGGAAGAATCAGGAACTTCTAGAGCTGAGGATTTCTATCTCTGATGAGGATTCCCGCCTCCATTCCCACTTTAAGGCAAATTAGGTGGAAGGAGGAGATATTCCTAGGGAGAAAATCATGATCAGGGTACATTATGCCATGTTCCAGCTGCTTTTAGTTGCCCCCAGAGGCTGGAGGAAGCACAGGCATCAGTTCCATATCCTGAGCTCAGGGATTGTTTGGAACCTTGCCTAAGCACCTTTATTCCCCAGCATATTTATTTTTTGGATGCAGGGTGGGAAAAAAAAAGGGTCCCATCCACAGAATTACTCTTACAATCAAAGGCCAGGGTGTGGGGTTGCCTCTTGCTCAGCTCTGATGTGAAAATAAGGGGTTTAAATTCTTCCTTAGCCACTGAGTCATGTGAGAAAAAGTTCAGTCAGTCAGGGCTGGAGACCTTTAACCATGACATTTCAGGAATTAAGGGAAAAAAATACTGCATAAGGTGAAGTGCCTTATAAACACAGTCCTCTAAAAGACAGTTCAACATTTAATACCCCTGAAAATTCACAGGCCAGATGTGGATTTTGACATTCTGATTTAAAGATTCAGACATAAGTTTTTTCACATGAAGTTGCACTTTTTTTGTTGGTTTTTTTTTCTTCTTCTTTTTTTGTAAAAAGTAGAACATGGTTTACAGAAAATTGGATGAGCAGGTCCACAGTGAATAACTTAATTAGGTGCCGTGTAACAGAGCTGCATGCAGCCGTTAGCTAGAAATGTGCACTTTGCTGGCTTTAGCTCTAATTAGTTTTAATTCATCTGCATATATATTAGCTGCTTCATGCACAAACACACACTGCTTCATGCAGTGACACACACAAGCAGGAGCTTTAACATTCCAGCTGGAAACAGAAATGGAAGCACCATATACTAAACCGGCGCTGAGGACAAAATTTAAAAGAAATTGTATTCTTTTTTAATATTTAGCCCTGCTCTCTCTGGAGCCCTGCTCTCTCATGTCTTGCTCCAGGCAGAAGTGGAACTGAGAGAATTCGTCAAGAAGTTTCATTTCCATTCCTGCCCTCGGATATTGGATTCCTGACATGGTCGGAGTGGAGAGTGCAGCAAATCCCACAATCAGTGAGAGCTTCCCAGCATTGCGGGCTGCCCGGGATGGCCGGGAGGCAGCGTGCTGCAGCCACATGTCCCGTGGACTGCCGTGCACTCGCATTGCCATGGCAACCCTGGCTTTGGGGGGAATTCAGGCTATCCCGGCTTTCCCACGTTAGGGATTTCACAGCCAAGAAGCTGTGAATAAATTCTGCTTACGCTGAGCAGAACATAAATTAAACAATGTGGGATGTGAGGCACAGACCAGTGCTGCACCCTTTTAATTCACATTTTCTAGGCAATTTCTGTTCAAAATTTGGCAATATGCCTGGGAGTGACAGAAAGCACCTCTCAGGAGATGACTGGGAGGGGAAAAAAGATAAGATTTAGCTCAGTTGTTCACATACTGACATTAATGGCAAGAACAGTTTTATAGTTTCATTTTTATGTCAAACCTTTCTTACACTTGATATGCTCACTGTCAATAAAATCTAGTACCAGGTTTGCATACAAAAATCACCAACTTCTGTAAAGAAATTTAAACTTTGTACTTCCCTTTTGCCACAGGTGGTGTGTGCGCTTGCAGAATAGCTGCTACAACCCTTGTAGAAGTTAGACCACAATAAAAACGGCTCAGAATAAATTCTGCAAATAATTCTTTTAAAGTTAATATTCCTGCTGCGATCAATAGGATTAGCAAAATTATGAAATAGAGAAGAAATAATTTGAAAAATTGTGAGCATTTTTAATGGCTAGATGGTTGCTTTCTATAGAAATTCTCCAAAGCCAGGCTCACCTGTAAATGAAACCCCTCCCACAGAAAATCCCAGTTGGGTGTTTTTTACATCTCCCATGACAATGGTCCAGTTTTATGTCTGTGTAACTTCACACAGCACCAGCGCCTGCTCTGAAGGCGTGAGCATTATGTAGTAAATAAAAAATACCAGTCTGACAGCTTTTTGAAGCACTCAGCAGAGATACAAAGTTGACATGAAGCTGCTTTCCGTAGCAAAGGCACTTTTTTATTACATTGCTCTGGAGACGCCTCAAGACCTCCCTTGGAGCTGTTATTTTCTATCGAGTACAGAACACACACAAACCCCTCCACTCTGCTACAAGAGCTGCTTACTGTGAGAGCTGCCTGGAGCTCTGTGACCTGCACCAACACAGCACAAGGAACCGAAGGAAAGGAGAGCTCAGCTGCCATCCACGCAGGAACTGGACAAGCACACAGAGCACTTGGAAAAGGCTTTCAGCTTCCAAAACCCACCAAGTCAGAGAAATCACTGAATTCAGACTCAACTAGGATGGCCAGCTTCAGGGATTTTAATGGTGTCTGTTACATCATGTTGCACAAGAACAAGCCTGTTGTTTTCACTTCAGCCTGCTTTAAGAGAGGCATGTGTAATGCTTTCAGGAATGAGGCAGGAGCAGGAATGGTTCTGTGGACGGGACTATTTAATGATTAAGAGCTGGTTCCACGCAGATTCCCACGAGAGAGCTGCATGACTCTGCCTTTCCCAGCAGCTGAGTGAAGCCCTGCTTCCTTCTCTCCCTGAACCTACAGTACACGTTGCAACACACCCCGCTCCTGTGAAGCAATAATCCTCAGCTGCAACAGTTTTTATTGAAACACAGATTCTCCAAAAGTTCCCGAACCTCTCCTCACAACTCCTTCCCCTACCCTCAGCTCACCCCCACAATTCCTACTTTTATGGTAGAAACAGTGAGCTAATTTCTCTCAATTCCACCAGAGCATCAAAACACTGGCAGAGAAAAGCAATAAATCAAAGAGCAAAGACAACCTAGAAAAATATTTGTGCTAGAACACATTTTAAGGATACAAGTGATTCATGCAGAAGAAGGGCACAAGGCATGATTAGAAATAAATTTGAATTGAAAAATACTCAGCCAAAAAGCCTGAATTAAGAACATGCTGAGCGCCAGAGAGAGCTCGGAGACACAGTCTGTTATTAAGCTTTCTGCATTAAACAATTAAATGAAGCAATTAGATTTCAGAAAGGAGATAATTATTTTAGGAATGAAACAAAGGCTGGAGGAAATGCAGCTGCCTGAGTGTGGAGAATGGAGAAAAGGAAACCAAAGCATTGTATTTGAAATGTTCACAACAACCAATTTGTGTAAAAGGATTTTTAATTAATAGTCTACAAAACTTCTTTTAACCCAGTAATGAAAATAATGCAATTTAAAAAAAGATAATCACCTCAATATGTGATTATAATTGATATCTTCAAAAATCATAGGCAACAGCAAGCAAGTGCTGAAAGGGACTGAGAAGTGACACGGAAAAACAATCCTCCAGGATGAGAATTCTCACGAGATGGCACTTTTAACTCTCCACATGTTTTGATGTGCTGTTGTCTCAAGGCTGTGAGGAAAGATTGCTCTCACGAGACCAAAAGGAAAAAGGTTTGAGTAATTCCTCACAGGCAGATCCTCTTGCAGGGCATCCTAAAGGATTTGATAAAATGGGCAATTAAGTTATTTGTCTTACTCACTCACAGCTTTAAGTGCAGGCTGACACTCCACAGAGCACTCTGTCAATTCGTTCTGAGCACGTCCTCTAAAAGCCTGACCAAGCTTAGACTAAACCAGAAGCCAGGCTTTTAATTAATTATAAAACAAATATAATATCCTTAGCACAGCATGGCTAGCAGAGGAGTAGAGAAGGAAGCCTACCCACAGGCAGCCTGTCTCCCAGGCACGCTGGGACTCGAGTTTGGGCTCCTGAGGGAATCCTTCTTTCCTTACACCTCCCTGAGTGACAGCATTCAAATGCTGCTGCTGCTGGCAAACTGCAGCCTGTTTAGCACTTCTGAGAAGCTCAATGACAAAACACTCTGCTTTTTGTCTTTAATGTCCCAAGAAGGGCACAGGTAACACAATGCCTGTTTAGCACCCCTCCTTGCTTTCAGTGTGTCCTTAATATCCACTTTCTCCCAGCCAGAGATCTTAACTGCAGACAGCAATCCCATCAAACAAGAAAAAACCCCATTCCATTTATTTTGGTTTTTAAAAGAATTATTTTAAATTAAATGTACACAGAACTATACAATATAAAATTTTAATCCAAGTTATAAAAAATATGCATATGAGTTCAAGGTGTTTAATTTGAAAATAAAAGATTGTCAACTGGATCAGAAAACATTCCTTTACAAATTGTTCCCTTTATCCCTCCTCCCAATAAAAAGATTTTGTTCCCTTTGTTTCAGTTGATTTTGCTTTTGCATAAATAACATTTTAATATCTCATAAAAATAATCTTAATTGGCCCTAAGGCATGGCACAGATCGATGCAGTTTAGGTCACTGCTTTCAGACACAGTAAAAGGATGTATAAAATCCTTAGAGAAACAAGAGGTTTTTACCTCCTGAAGCAGAATATTTCTTGTAGCTCATGAGTGCTTGGCTACAACCAACATTTTATTGTCCTAAAATATCCTGGCTGTATGCAGTGGGCAGTATACTCTTCCTATTCCACATAAATCTCCTCAGTGAAGCAGAAGACTTATTAAAAGTGGATGAGAAAAGCACTTCAGCAGAGATTGGACTTGGAGCTGTTGCAGAGCTGTTTGAGCACTCCCACTCCTCAGCTCCCAGGGATTGCTCAGAGGGAGGAAGGAAGAGCTGGTGGAGCAATCCTTTTCTTTAGACACTGCAGAATGGATACTTCTGATGTCTATGAAACAAAAATCTCCAAAACACCTGAGCTTGTCATTCAGCTGAAGCTCAGCATCTCCTCCTGGGAGCCTGGAATTGACAATTGATACAAGTAAAGGGAATAAGAACTCAGAGAACTCTGCCTGCCCAAAAGGCAGACAAGTGGCAACTCCTTTGCTTGGATACAACCAGTAATACTAAATATACCAAACTGGAAAGATACTGCAAATCAGCACACAATGGTTTGGGCAGGGGGGACCTAAAAGATCATCCAGTTCCAACCAATGACTCCTTCCACCAGGTTGCTCCAAGTCCCATCCAGCCTGGCCTTGAGAACTTCTAGGAATGTGGAAAAGAATCATTGAAGGGGAAAAACCTCTGACTGAAATGATTTTTCTATCATGCAAACTTACAGCAGTTTCCACTAACTACAATAAAGTATTCAAGCCTCAGTGTTTGAGCAAGAGGCACCACATGCAATGAAAACTTGAAAATTATCAGTGTCACAATGTTTCTTCAGAGCAGTGGCAAGTTATGTGCTAACACCCGCTCTTCACAGCAATGGCACCACATAAAAACAGCTTGGAAAGAGCTGAAGTCCCACAGGTGCAGCAGCAATAAAACCTCTTCCAGTGTCTAGCCAGGCACTTGGGAGATATTTGTAGAAACACAGAATCCTACAGCTGTTCAAGCAGTAATGATTTCATGGGATTCTTCCCCCTGAGGCCTCTACAGCCCTGCATGTCCTAGACTGTGCAACTGTGCAATTTCTGCAGCCGTAGGTGAGGTGTGAAGGCCACTGACTGAAGGTTGTCCCAGATGAAAGCTGAGGACTGCATCTGACACAGGCTCACGAATCCTGCTCCTCTGTGAGTGGCTCACCCCTTCCAGCACACACGAGCAGCCTCTGTGACACAGGCCACGGAAGGATGCCCGGCACGGAGCCCCAAAGGAAAGAGGCTGCTGTAAACATCTGTGTGACACACTCTCTTGGATAGTTTCAGGAGAACTTCGGGATGCTGAAGGCACTTGGTGCAGACATTTGACTTCAAATCCAGGCACGTTTTTTTCCAAGAAAGCCACCACAATATTTAATGTCCCTCTTGCACTGCAGTCTGAGGTTACAGTTGTCTTAATATACTTTCACGGAGAGCACATCTATTTGACAAATTACCTAAGATACTATTTTTTGCTACTCCAAAAGAAAAGCCAGCACCAGCTGAAAACTTTACTCCTTCTCCCTTTCACACTGTATTTATAACAGGCCATAAAAAAAAAAAAAACCATGAAATTTTTAATTCCAGTTGTCTCAGATGTGTCCCATGGATGTATTTCCAGTGGAGATGCATGTGAAAAGTTCCCGCAGCAAAGCAAATCTTTTCAGGTGAGTGGCAGAACAAAAGCGTGACAATTTCTTCTATTAAAATATCTTGAAATAAGCATCAAACTACAGAGTGCTCTCTGATAGGAATCTGTTTCCATGTCAATTTTCAGCTGAGCACAAATTAACTTATTAAGGCACATAAATAAATGGCATGATAAGCAGCCAGTGATAATTATTTTGGTCCAGAAGAAAAGAAGGCACTCTGACTTTTTTCATTCATAGTTTTACACTGTTTTCAGTTGGTTCCAGTGCTCACCTGTGAGATCTTCTCTTCAACCCTGTCTGCCACCAATTTCAGGTTGCAGTTCTGGAGGGCTTTTATTAAGTCAGCCACTTTTGCATCCTTCCCCTTCCACTTCTGCCACTCCCGTAGTGCCTGAAAAACCTCTTCCTCCAAATCAAATCGATAGGCTGCCTCTACCTTATCCAGCTTCACCTCTGGCAGCCCAAGTTCTCGCATCAGCTTCTTCCATTCTCTCCCAACATTGGCGCAGATGACATCAAAAGCTGCCTTCAGGAGACCTGAAACAGAAACAGATCAAGCTAGCCATGCATTTACTAAGGAACTCAAGAAAACGTTTAGAAGTTGTTGGTTTTATTTCAGCAAAATGCCACTACTCCTGTTGCACTGCCCATACTGAGAGTTCTACAGAAGCCACCGGACAGACTTGGAATCCCAAAAGATAAAAGAAAAGTAAGATAAAAAGTGGTGGGGGGGGTGGGGTGGTGGGGGGAAATTTCACCCCGGAAGACGTTTGTGTACACATTTACTGGGATTGCTGGGGAGCGATATATGGGGGGGGGATATAACTATATTAAAAAACCTCTATATAACAATCCACCTACGTTTTTCATGCTCATCTGGCTGATCATCGTCAGGGGCACGAAGTTCTCCCTGCTCGAACTGCACCACTAGTGACAGCAAATCGCCCCTACTGATGTGCTGCAGCAGCTCTTTCAGGAATCCCAGATTGTTGTGCGCGACCACCTGCTGCTCCATCAGGATGCTGAAGAGCTCCAGGCCGCTTCGCACCGTCTCAAGCTTTCGCTTCCTAATTTTGTCGCGGCAGAGGAACTTCATGGCCTCGAGCTCCGCGGCCGTCATGCCCGAGGAGATGGAATGCTGCAGGCTCAGGAAACGATCCACGGCGCGGGGGCCCGCGCCCGGCACAGGCCGCGCGTGGGCGATTTCGGCGTCATGTCCCAACCCTCCGGAGACGAAATCCATTCCTGTTTGCGCAGAGTGACTTCCCGGGAACACGGAGGGACACCGCACAGAGACACCGGCACGATTCCGGGACGATAGCGACCCGACCCGCCCGGAACTCACGTGACACCGCGGCTTTCCCGCGCCGCGCCTGCCCGCCCCAAGATGGCGGCTGCGCCGCCGCCCCTGAGGGGAGGGGTTGTTCTGTCGCCGCCGCCGCCGCCGCCGCCGCCTAACCAGGGCTTGGGGACTCTCTGCCCCGAACCTCTCCCGAGACGAACCGGCTTCTTTGGTGCTGCTGAATGCAGAGCGTGTGCTGGAGCTGAGCTCGGCGCGGCCGGTGTCCTGCTTCAGGAGAAGCCCCGGTGCCTCAGCGCCTCAGCCGTGGCCAGGTCACAGAATCACAGAATCACAGAATCACTTTGCTTGGGAAAGACCTCGGAGCTTGTCGAGTCCAATCTGTGACCGGACACCTCCACATCAACCAGAGCATGGCGCTGAGAGCCACATCCAGGCTTTTGTTAAACACTTCCAGGAGCACTGACTCCACCGCCTCTCTGGGCAGGCCATTCCAATGGCTGATCACCCTTTCTGCAAAGGAGTTCTTCCTAATATCCAGCCTAAACCTCTCCTGGTGCAGCTTAGACTATGTCTTCTTATCCTGTCACTTGTTCCCTGGAAGCAGAGCCTGACCTTCCCTGGCTGCTCTCTCTTGTTAGGGAATTGTGCAGGGCCAGAAGGTCCCCCCCGAGCCTCCTTTTCCCCAGGCTGAGCCCCTTTCCCAGCTCCCTCAGCCTCTCGTGGTACTCCAGACCCTTCCCCAGCTCCATTCCCTTTTCTGGACATGCTCCAGCCCCTCAACAGCCTTCCCAAATCAAGGAACCCAGACCAGGACACAAGACTCAAGGTGTGACCTCACCAGTCTAAGCCTGAAGTTGGGAGAACTGTAGATTTCCTGTTTAATATTGAATCATTGGGCTTCTAGTGAACACCTACCCCTATAAGAGTTAATCTCTGTCGGTTTGGTTTTTTGTTTTCTTTTCCCCAAAAAGTGGAAGGAAAAGCAGTGGAAGGATGAGAGGTTCAGCCTGGGGATGAGGAGGCTCAGGGGGTACCTTCTGGCCCTCCATGGCTCACTGAGACGAGCATGGAGACAGGAGAGGCTCGGTCTCTTTTCCCAAGGAAAAGGGGCTGAACAAGAAGAAAATCACCAGAGGAGGTTTAGGTGGGATATTAAGAGACATTTCTTCACTGAAAGGTTGGACAGGCGTTGGAACAGGCTGCCATGGGGAAGTGGTGGAGTCACCATCCCTGGAGAGATTTAAAAGATGTACAGATGTGGCGCTTTGAGACCTGGTGGTGGACTTGGCAGTGATGGGTTAATGGCTGGACTCAATGATCTTAGAGGTCTTTTCCAGCCTTAATTGTTCCATGGTCCTATGATTCTATAAATGGCTTTCTCCACCAAGAGCAAGAAAGGCCCCAGCAGAGCCCTGCTCCCAAAGAGATGCCCGTTCCCATGGCTTCCCTGCCTGACAGCTGCCCAGGGAAGCAGGTTCTGCCCTCCCCGTGTGGTCCTGCTGCCCCCAGAGACCCCCAGCCTTTCCCTGGAAGCACAGGGCATGCAGCCTGGCCTTTGTTCCTCGCGAAGATTAATTGTGACACAAAGTACCTCCTGACCTTTAAAAGGCAAGAAATAGGGCAAATGTTAAGTCCCTGTATTTTAGAGGCGACCCTTATACAAGGTGGAAGGTTGTGAACTTTTCTTAAATGGAAAAGATCAAGTTCATACCATTGTTTTGTAGGTGCCTTTTAGCTTTTCTTTTCAGCACATGTAGATAGTTCAGAGATTTTCTTGTTCCTTCTGTGAGCACTGGCATGTTGATTCCCGAAGTTACCCCATTCCTAAGTTTTTTCCAGCACACTTTAATTTATTATTCTTACAACATACTCACAGACCTATGTTCTCTCATCGTAGAAAGGTTTCTGACTGATAAATGGACTTAAACACTATTATCTTCCTCATCTCCATCTCCACTCACATTCCAACGTGAAGACCAACCCCCCAAAACATTTCTAAAACTCCCACAGGCACAAGCCCTCCTTAGATAAACCCACTAGATATTTTTGTTTATTCCCTAAATGCTGCAGACTGGAGGGAATTAACTTGTTACAGGGTCTCGTGGTAAAGAAAAGAGTGAGAGGAATTGCCACTGTGAATCTGAGCTGGGACAAGATGTGCCTGATTTAAGAGGTGTATTTTTTTTGCAGCCCTGAATATACTTTAAACTCAAGGAAAGACATTAACAAAAAGGGTAGCATAGGAGAAATATATTTGCTGTGTGTGCATTAATTTATGAAGCAGGAGTAACCCTTGTAATGGTATCAGAAGTACAAAATCCAGTTAAATAAAATTTCTTTTAAATTTTGCCAGCGAAGTTGACTCTACAAAACAGCAGGGAACAAATCACATGGTGCCTGGTGGTGGCAACCAGCCAAATTCAGAGACAAATCTACGTGACAGAAGTCCAAATCAGCACAATTTATACCTTTCTTCTCTATGCCCTGACATGCAATTGAAAACAGCATCAACTGAGATTTTAATTGGTTCATACAAACCTGGTGGCCAGATTCAGCACTGAGGTACGAGGAGTGTGAAAGTGGTGCTGCACATTTATGTAATTCCAAAGGTGTCTAAATTAGTAACAAGTGTGAAACTGAAAGACACAAATCAATATTTAATGAAGATTCTTAAATGCTTTTAAACTCACTCCTATTGGAAGGCAGAGTGATTGAGCAGGGTCTTTTATTCTGTCTGAACCTGACTTGGATGCATTCACCGATGAAAATACCCCAAGCAATAAATTGCTTTATTCCAGTGATTTCCTTTGGAAGCAATTTGTGGGGCTTTGGCAAAGAAAGTATTAGGCGAGCCTAACAGATTGTAAGCGCTTCTGTGTCAGAATAAAACTTAATAGAAATTATTTATTGGGGCAGCTCAGATTTCAGTGGAAGTTTCCCAGAAATTTAAGTGCTGTGAATGATCTGGTTCCTAACCAAATAATCCTCAGGTTTCTCGAGGCAAGATGAGTCCTTGCAAAATACTGCAGAGGGAGCTCGAAGCCTGGGAGTGCTTCAGACTTCGCTTTGACTTCACGGTCCCTGCTGCAGGAGCAGGGCAAAGAGAGCGTGAAAAGATTAATTTCAGCAGAGCCCTCGGGGAGGTGTCAGTCACCAGGACATTTGGGCAAAATCACTCATTTGGGGACTGCAAAAATGGCAAAGTGTGGGGCTGTCCTCAACTATGGATGACCGAGGTGTGTTTGTGTGGAAACTCGGGAAGATCCTTCATTGTTTCCAGCCAAGGCAAGAGGCATTCTGCTGGTCCAGAGAAACTGGAGTGTTTAGGAGCTGCCATGTTTTTAAGTGAAGCAGCTTTGCTAATTTCTTTAATTTCCCACGCAATTCAATAGCACATATCCCAGGTGGGATTTAAAATCCTTATCCTGACAATTCTGAGAGACAGGTTGGGCAAACACCTTGGCACAGACAGTGCTGAGGAACTGTTTCTCTTTTGAGGCCCAGGTGTACACTTCTTTTAATATACCTACTCTTGTTTTCCAAGGGAATTCATGACATCTCCTTTTTTCTTTGCTGTCTTCAAGATAAGAGGAGATTTTGCATAAAAAAACCCCACCCTCTCCCTAGCAGAATTAGGCTGCAAGAGGTTTTTGCTTGCTTGTTTTTACTCCTACACTGAATAAACTGATTTCCATAACATTTTTTAATGTACTTATCCAATGCCTCTCACCCATTTTTGAAAAACCCTAAAATGCCCATTTTCAGCAAAGAGAAGACTGTTTCTGTATTTTCTTTTGTGAATTAATTATCTGTACATGTTTATTTTGTCACCCCAGCTATCACCCCTCTGTTGCTATAACATCCAGTCTAGAAAGAAGTGCTCTGGTAAAGAAACTCATTTGTGAAGAGACTGAGAATCTTAGGAGAAAAGTGTCCCTGACAAAAGGGCCCATAAGAAATGTCAAATTATTGTGGGTTGAGAGAGAAAATTAGAAGCAGAGTGTGGGAAAAGTAAATAAGTACTGAAAAGAGAGTGAACTCTGGCATGACTACGTTGTATACAGATAAAAGATCTGGCCAAGTAGCAACAACAACAAGCAATAAGTTGTTAGCAGATGCTTGAACTTCATATTGAAACAGCAGAAGTGTTGATATAATTCTGTTGATACAGTTATGTTGTGTTATTGTTGGCAGAAGTTAGTTTAACTTTAGGGGAAGGGTAAATTGTAGACTTTTGTTTATTTGCTCCGGCTAAAAACCTCTGACTTGACTTTTTACCTATTTTTGTAATGAATTTTCATCATACCATGGAAGTATGAAATCATTCAAACAAACATTTCACATGTCAATAAAGCTGTGTGTATATATTAGCCCAGCACACCTCATTCCTCTAAACCATATTTATTACTTAAGCTCTGCAACATCAATTTTGCACTTGGAAAAACAGAAGAACAGAGAAGACAGAGAGCAAGTATTGTTTGTAGAGGAATGTCATTGTGAAATGACAAAACGTCCCTGAATAACAGTGTATGATCATTAGATCTTTTTTGGGGCCCTTTCTATTTCTATTCAGTTCAGTTCCTGCTCTGTGACTGGCTGAGGGCAAAGCAAAGCAAGTTAAGATCCAAACTGGAAGTTGCTATTCATGCAGGGAAATAATCCAGCAGCTCTGATTGCCAGGCTTGGAAGCTAATACTAATTAATTTCTGCAGAGTATGTATAATTTATTCTTTATTTTTCTGAGCTGCTGTATTGCCAGTTCTGAAACCAGATAAAACCATGAAAAGGTAAATACTTACCACAAGAAAATTTATTTTCTGTAAATTGAGGTGTTTTTCTTCATACAATATTCCGAGAAGCTATAAAATAAAGATTTAGATAATAAAAATAATTGTTTTGCAGAAAATTGATCCATTTTGCACCATTTTGGAGTATTTCTTACAAGCATGCAGTTAGTTCTGTACCACAGGACTTCATCCTCCCACCCAAGGAAATTCTTACCCTTTCCTTACTGAGGAGCAGCACTGCATTGCCTGCTG